TCCCTGTGACGCGAGGTGGCGGCTTGGGTGCCCAGCCCAGGGCACCCAAAATGCTTGGGCTGGCCCTAGCTACAGCATGAATGTTTTGAATAGCAGAGGAGAGGTTGCCAACAAACACATGCATGCACACCCTGCCTGCTCTTCCTCCTCATTCTTGCAGCATGAAAGCTATGTATCCTGCAGAACAAGAAAGCTGAGCCTTGCTGATTGCTAGAAACAATATGGTCATGATTGGATTGACTATTTAGTATGATGTATTCTGTGCCTTAATGGAATGACAGTCTCATGTGATTGCCCATATTACCTGGCCCTTGCTCCTAGCGAATCACTGCCTTTACTTTGTCCCAACTTTTTGCCTTTTGGGAAATGCCCTTATTGAAATATGGTAAGTGCAAGCAACTAGAGTCATCATTCTTCTGGGTTCAGATCCTTCTCCAGAATGTCTCAAGCTTCACTCTCTGAAGCAGGGGAACAGGTGCGTCTTGTGGAGTGCACATGCAGGCAAATTGGTGATAGATCAAGATGGGTAGCCATGTTAGTCTGTCTAGCAGTAGAAAAGAGCAAGAATCCAGCAGCTCCTTAAAGACTAACAAAATTTGTGGCAAGGTATGAGCTTACATGAGTCACTGCTCACTTCTTCAGATACAGCTAGAATGGGAGTCCATGCCCTTATATCTTGGACAGTGGAGTGATTTCAGATGCCGAATGACATTAGCAGGCAAATGACAATAGCTGGCGTGAATGGGGTTAGGTGCAGAGGGGTAATAGACATGGAGAAATCAGCATTGGTAATGAGACAAATTGGTGTGCATGAACACTAAGGCACAGTGCATGCACCACCTCCCTTAGTGTACACTGGAACCACTGCAGCATATTAGGAGCTGCAGGTAACATATGACAATGTTGCTGTCACCCTCCTGGCTTTTAAATCAATGAAGAATAGCCTACTGTAGAATAAATAAATAAGGTAGTTGGGAGCAGAGCCCTTAATATGGGGAAAGCTTGGGCAATAATCCTTGAAATGGTGATCAGCAGACACATGCATTCTTCCCCTTTTCCCATCTGTTGAAAGGCTGACAGGGCACCATACTTGCTGTTTGTATCAATACTTCTGAGCTTCTTCAACACATTCGGCTATCTGCAGCTTGTCCCCGCTCCCCCATTTTAACAATTTAGAGAACTTTTCTTTAGATCAGATATGCAGACGATACCACTCTAATGGCAGAAAGTGAAGAGGACCTAAAGAGCCTCTTGCTCAGGGTAAAAGAGGAGAGCGCAAAAGTGGGCTTGAAGCTCAACATCAAAAAAACTAAGATCATGGCATCCGGTCCCATCACTCCTTGGCAAATAGAGGGGGAAGTCGTGGAAGTAGTGACAGACTTCACGTTCCTGGGATCCCAAATCACCGCAGACTGTGACTGCAGCCATGAAATTAAAAGACGCCTGCTACTTGGGAGGAAAGCGATGGCGAACCTAAACAGCATGATAAAAAGTAGAGACATCACCCTGCCAACAAAAATACGCATGGTCCAAGCAATGGTATTCCCAGTAGTCATGTATGGCTGCGAGAGTTGGACTATAAGGAAGGCCGAGCGCCGAAGAATAGATTCTTTTGAACTATGGTGCTGGAGAAGACTCTTGAGAGTCCCTTGGACTGCAAGAAGATCAAATCAGTCAATCCTAAAAGAAATCAACCCTGACTGTTCCCTGGAAGGCCAGATAATGAAACTGAAGCTCAAATACTTTGGCCACCAAATGAGAAGGGAGCACTCACTGGAGAAGACCCTGATGCTGGGAAAGATTGAAGGTCAAAGAAGACGGGGACGGCAAAGGATGAGATGGTTGGACAGTGTCATCGATGCAACGAACATGAAACTGAGCAAACTTCAGAGGACAGCGGAAGACAGGAGGGCCTGGCGGGATCTAGTCCATGGGGTCGCGAAGAGTCGGACTCGACTGTGCGACTGAACAACAACAACAAGGGGAGCAGTTCACAATATCTGCCATTTGATTCTTGGCGCAAACCAAGGAGCCCCTCCTTATCTAGAGCTCAATATGCACACAGTGTGGATTGGGGCCACATTGCTCACAGAGCCAAGTAGTGCTGTTATGAGGTGGGATATTTATTTTTCTGAAATCCCCTGGTTTTTACATATAGACATTGATTCCTCTTATGATCTCTTCCCTCCCTCTTTGAAAAGTGGGATTTCTCTTTGGTACCCCCTGTTCTTGCAGTTGTTTTATGTTACACACCACACAGTGTTGCTCTAGCAGGAGAATAGGAAGGTTTTGGGAGATACTCACCTGCCTCTGAGCATCTACAGAGTGAAATTCTGAAATTTTGCAGAACCTCCCGCCCTGCCTCTCCTCTCTTTGAATTTCTCTCTTTGAATTGATTAGAAACTGACTCCAGATTCTTAAAAAGAGGGGAAGAACTGGGTTGTTGGTTTTCATGGAGAAAACGGGTAATGAGGAATTAAGAGAATCACTATATCTAATAGCCAAGTTGCCCCCTCCGTGCGGATCGCTATATCCGCACTTCGGGGGCACTTGGGGGGCCGGGGGAGGTTTGTGCACACGTGGGCCAGTCCCCACGTGTGCACAAAAATCTAAAAACTGGACAAAAATATCGGGGGGATACTTAAATCCCCCCGAAACTTACAGAACGTCCCCTGCGCATGCGCAGGGAACGCTCTGCTGCCGTCCTCGCCGCCGCCGCTTTGGAGCCG